CAGTGTGGATGCGCTGTCCAACAGTTCGTCAAATACGATACGTTTGGGATCATTGAAGTCCATCCGATGACCAAATACCAGATGAGAGAGGCTTATTATGATAAAACTAACTAATAATGTATAGATAATTAAATGATAATGTTTGTTTTATTAGTAACAATAAGAATGAGGTGCAATAAGTGCAAAGTTAATAATTTGAATAAAATAAACACATGCATTAGACAGATCTCAGGTCGGTATTGCATCACTAGAATTTTCAAGGTAATTGATGTACATGTTTATCAGTACTTTTAATAAATAGCAAAATATAAGTTTCTAATTAGTGTTCCCAGGTCAAAATTTCAAGTTTCTTGATAAATTGATTTTACGGTACAACAAATATTTTTTTTTGGTATTCCCTGATATTTTTATAAAAATGTGTTGACCCTTCCATATGAAGGAATGTCCCCCGCATTGACTCTTGTCTAAAACCCTATTTTCTTGACAATCAAAGAATTCCTTGACCTCTGGGAACACTACTTCTAATGCTTTTAATATCAATATAATATTCAAATTGAATAATTTAATGATTGGTGCCATAGCTTGTATTCAATTTATCTTTACCTATTAATAATAGGCTATTATTTAAAGTATTCAAAAATTTGTCAAATATTTTACTAAAAATACTCGAGTGTGTAGTAACTAGATTAGTATATTTTGTAGTTTTTATTAATAATTAAAAAAATGAAAATAATTACAGTACAAAATTTTATCGAATAATAACGTAATTATTCTTATAAACTATTAGTGATGTTTTACATACATTGAAAAATTCAAATAATATGATTGGGAAAAGATTATATGAATGGTTACATTAATGCAATAATAATTCTTAACAATATATTATCAAGGTTAAGTTGATATCATACCGACCTTGAATAAAAATAAATTCAATTCTATATAATTAAAACAATTATTTGTAAGAATAAATTGCCAAATAACTACAACTGTAAATATTAAAAATCACACGCAAGGAGGTATGCTGCAATTATTATTAATCGAGATTTTTGTACAGAATATTTTGTTTAGTACTTAATTCATTTTAAAATTTTACAATTTATAATAAGATTATCTAATTTTTAAAACTATTCAAACAATTTATATCAATAATAGTTTAAAGCCTTTTATGAAATCTAAGAAAAAACGATTCCTTTGGCTGTAATGTTAGCCCAAATTTGTCCTCTAATGTGAATCTCTCTTCGTTTTCGGCACTTATTGTATATCTTTGTAAAAGTGATACGAAATACAGGAATACCTCCACTCGTGCTAATGTCTCGCCAACACAATTGCGTTTACCTTTAAAAACAAATAAAGATAAATAATAATAATTAAATGTAACTATAAAAACACTATTTAATTAAAAATTAATAAAAACATACCGTAAGAAAATGGTATCAAAGCCTCGGTTTTGATCAAATGCTTGCCATCAGGTGTTAAAAACCTATTGGGATTAAATTGATCAGGGTTGTCCCATACTTTGGGATCGTAATGAACGGCCCATATATTGGCCATTATTCGTGTGTTTTTGGGTATGAAATGACCCAAAATATATGCATCTTCAGGATGGCTGTCAATAAAATAGAAATAAAAGTAAGTTTATTCTTTAATAATTTGAATATTTACTATATGCTTATTTTTGCATTATTAATTTAGTTTCAATTTACCTTCTCATTAGATTTAAAGGCAGAATAGTTTTCCAACGAAACACTTCATTAATGACTGCCTGAGTATAAGGCATATCAAGCCTGTCAGCCCACGTCGGGCTCCGGTCTCTACCGATCACATCATCGATCTCTTCGTGTAATCTCTTTTGAATGTCTTTGTGTTTTACGGCCAACAATACTAACCACTCGACTGTTGTCCGCACTGTTTCACTGCCGGCACCGAAGAAGGCTCTGCTGTTCGCGTTTAATTTTTTTACTTAAAGATAATAATAATTTGAAATTAAATAAAATTTAATAATTTTCAAATACATGTAATAAATGCTTATAGTTATAAATACATGTAAAAGTAGTGTTGGGATCTTTTTGCTGTTTCTTCATTTCATTAAGGAATCCGTCCATATAATCACGTTTATTATTTGGATCCATTGTCTTCTGGTGTAAATTTATTTCCTCCCTATTAAGACAATTAATTAGTTATAGAATAAAAGGCATAAATAAATGTTTAAAATTTATACTCAAATATTTGCATAATTGTTGATATTTTTGCATTTGCAAACGCTCCTAATTTTAAGACCATTGTACTGAACCAAACCGGGGATAAAGACAATACGCCGAGCATTGAGAACAGTGTGGATGCGCTGTCCAACAGTTCGTCAAATACGATACGTTTGGGATCATTGAAGTCCATCCGATGACCAAATACCAGATGAGAGATGTTATTAGACATACTCGGCACCAATAGTTTATGGAAATTGAATCCCTGGCCATCGGTTTCATCGATAAGTTTAGTGAAATGTGTGATCTCATCGGCAATCCTATCCTCCATACTTCCCTTTCCAAACCCTAAGTCTCGAAGTGTTTGCAATGCAAACCTCCGGTGATCTCTCCATTCCTGTCCGCTATCGTCAACGATACCTAATTTAAAGCGAGTTTAGTTGTGTTAATTCAATAGCAAATTATTTCAAATATCTACTAATAGCGTTGTCCGCAGCAGTAAATGGACTGTCTTTGGGTCGCCCTAAGAAGTCATCCTTTTGAAAGGCATCCTTTACTGCCTCCCAATTGTTGAGAATGACTACATTATGGACTCCTAATTGTAATCTACAAATTAAAATTTATGATGTAAAAAATATAAAAGAAATTTAATATTTGATTAAAATAACTATATATTTATAATTAAAATACTAAATGAAATTATTTACTACATTTATAAAACAAGTACTTACGTAAAAACTCCTCCGTATTTGTCACTTAACTTTGCGATATCTCTATGCGGTTCTCGTCCGAGGAATGGCATGTATCCAACCAGTGGTATACCTATTGGACCCGACGGTAGATTCCATCGACTTATATAAGTGCTCAATACATGTCTTATTAAAACGATGAACAGTGTAAACAATATCAATACAAATGTATTTTCTATGATATAATCAAAAAGTAATTGCATTAAAGACATATTGAATTCTATATTAAACCCAATTGATTGAAATGTTTAATAAAAATGATATTAAAACAGAAAACACACATTTATATAAAGGAGGGAAAAACTTTTGAACGAATCAAACCTGTATTACAACTATTGACTGAAGAACTGCAAAAGTAGTTGTTTAGTACATTAAGTTGAAAATTGATAATATTGTATGGATAACACAAACAACTTGATTGAGACCTAAGGTCGGTTGCTTGTAGTGCATTACTTAAGTGTTCAAGGTAATTGGTGTTTATGTCTTTAAAGGCAATGTGCACACAATATACAGGTGTATCTTATGTCAAATGAAAGTTTAATAATTTTATAGTAATTCAAATTACTATTAATATTGAATTGCAATAAATTGTTTTTGTAATCTATTTATATTTTATTTGCAGATAATTAAAATCTGTATGATAAAAACATTCAATTTTATAAACAATTTTATTTTATTCAAGCTTTTAAGTTTTACAAATTATTTTGTTATGCAAAAAGTATTAAACAAAATTTTTTATACATTATATAGCCATTAGTTAGTGTTGTCGGAAAAACAACTACATAATAATATTACTGTATGCCTAATTTAACTATGCTAATTGTTTTATAAAAAATTATATGCATATTTTTATTGTGAGTAACAACCTGAATTTATGATGCTACATTATATCTAAAGATAATATCATGATGTTATAACAATTGTAGAAAGATTCTGTTGGTACAGTTGGCTCACACCAAAACAAAATGTATTTGATTCAATACATCAAGTTTCCTAAAGTTACTGTTACTCATAAAACTACGGTTCCTTACATTTATCAAATCTAAGGAAAAGTGGATTCTTTAATTGTATTGATGTGTTTTATCTGAATTCTACATTATAATCAATTATTTGCTAATAAAGTCATTTTATTTATTAAATTATAAACGAACACAAATTATCATTTGTATTATCGTATAATAACTATATTAGATATAAAATGAACTTTTTATTAATTTAATAAACAGATTAAAATATCAAAGTGACTCATATTATATGAGATATATCTGTGAAAAGTTTGTGAAATTAGTTTTAAAATACTTTTCAAAAATAATTGAGAAATACTTTTTATGGCTTAAAACAAATCAATTTAAAATCACTAATAATGAAGTGAAAACTCTGATCTTTGGACACGGATTTGTTGACGTCATCCTCGAGATCTTTTGGATTAATTGAATCGATGGATCGGTTCATGCATTTGAATGGTTCTGCAATTATCCGCACAATTGATCCATCGGTTAACACAAATCCATCGCATTCTTCCCCATAAATGTGTAGTTTTGTAGTGTTATTAGCCTTCAAAGTGATCAATAGTGGACTTTCGATGACTGTCTTCATGTCTTGGCTCATAGACTGGTCGCACATATTATAGAGCTCTACAACAATTGTGGACCGATTCTGGTTAGGGATCACATCCAATACGAGCGTACAGTTAGTCTGGCCGTAGATATTGCCGTCAATCGCACCGATTGGCTGAAGCTTTTCATGTTTGCGATAATAGATTAAAAACCGAAGATTTGGTGAATAAGTGATAAAATTTTTATCATTTGTTAAATTATATGAAGACTGTTCCGAATGTGTTGTCTTCGATGTCTTCAATGAATGCCATTTAGCTTTTGACGATTTTTTGGGCTCTAATTTCAATGATTTTCTTTTCACACTTTTGTCTAAAGAGAGACGACTTTGTGTTTCGATGTCTTCATCTTTTTGTTCACATGTCTGTTGAGCTCCAGAAATGATTGGATCCGTCTCTTGGTTCGTATCGATGGAACTGCGTTGAAAGTCCGTTGTCTCCGATTCTTTGCCAACAATTAAGATATTCTCCGAAGACTGTTGTCCTGACGATTGAAGTGGAGATGGATTTAAATCCAAATATGACTCGTCGTCAATGCTATAGTTATTTTGGTCGCCAATCAGTACAACCTTATTGTCGTCGCAGATAAAGAGCCGAAGATCACCGGCGATGGCTGTAATGGTGTGACGACCGCCGTCTCGATAATTGTCGAGAATCATCTCGTCGTTCTTCCAGACGGCAAGAGTGCCCACAATTTTGGCCGTAGACTTAGTGCCCATTTTGACGCCGCCGTCGCTCTCGCCATATATCCAAACATAGGCGCCGTCGGCGGCCGTCACTATCAACAGGTCCTGCGAGTGCTTCACTTGTGTCAGATCTCTCCTCGCGTTGATATCGTTTGTGTTGGTCTTGACGTAAATCTTGCCGTTTCTTTTGACAAACATTTGTCGATCGAAGAGTGCATTACTGAGTGGTTGCCAATCAGATCCAACCAGAAGACCGGCCGGTGTTGGAGGCAATGGCTTTCGCTCGTAATATATCAAGTGCTCGCGGATGTCATCATAGGATCGTTTGGTTGCCATTCCTTCCGCGGGTGACAACACTTCTGTTTGATAGACGGTTGAAGTGTTATTTGGTTTGAAGTGAGAACCACGAGGTGTTTCAGGTGTTTCACTACTACTAAAAGAGCCATCGATTGAATTGCCCGAAGAAGTGAATGATGTGTCGGAGATGGAAGTCTTTGGCGGTGTTTTTGCTATAATTGATGGTATTTTATCACCACAATAGGCGACGATTATGTCCGGGAAGACCCACTCATTATTAACCGGTCTAATCGGTTGACTCTCGAAAGTCCAGCTCTGGTTCTCAGCGATATCTTTATCCGAAGACATTGTAAAAGCAAATAAAAAACTGTATTTTTGTGTGAATTAACAGTAAATGCAAAGTAAGAGTGAGTTTTGCGGTTAGAGTTTGG